AATACAAAAACAATAAAAATAATTGTGAATGATTTAAAAAAAAAGATAAAAAAGATGATGAACCCCAGAGAGAGAGAGAGAGAGAGAGAGAGAGAGAGAGAGAGAGAGAGAGAGAGAGAGAGAGAGAGAGAGAGAGACAGAGAGAGAGAGAGAGAGAGAGAGAGGAGGAGGGGGAGAGAATATAAGTTGAGCGGCCATCGTATGTTGGTTGCATCTTTAATCACATTTGATGATCGTCAACATTAATCAAAACTTTGCTGCTTTTGTTGTTGTTTTCTGCTCACAATGTTGATGATGATGATGATGATTATTATTATTATTATTATTATTATTATGACAACAATGGTGATGATGATGGTGATAACGACGAAGACGATGATGATGATGACTATAGCGATGATGATGATGGTGATGATGACGACGACGATGACGATGGCGAAAAATTTTTGGTGCAGATTGTCTCCAACAAGCCTCAATAATATCGATTGCTTTGCCATGATGTGTTGCAAGATGCAAATTCCGTTTATTACAGCAGCAACAGCAGCAACAACAACAACAACAACAACAACATCAATAAAAATAACTGCAACAATAACAAAAACAATTACATCACTTCAGCGAGTTTAATGTGATTATTCAATAATAGAAGAAATAATATATCAAAAATCTAAATAACGACTTTTTTATTTTCATGCAATATCCACCCTTTCCATACAACAACACATTCAAAGTAGCTAATAACAACAACTACAAAACACAATAAAAACAACAACAGCTAATCAAACCACCATATTAAAAACCAGCGTATCATGAACATTCCCACAACAACAACAACACACAACAACAACTATACAACAACAAATAAACACTTTTTTATTTTTACTTTGGAGTCAATTTAATCAAAGACGACTCACTGTCAACAATAACATCAGTACAGCAGCAGCAACAACATCAACATTAACAACAACATCAACAACAACATCATCAACAACAACAACAACATCAACAACAACATCAAAAACAACAACAACATCAACAACAACAACAACATCAACGACAACATCAACAACAACATCAACAACAACATCAACAACAGTTGATTCATGAATAAATTTTCGAATGGATGGATAGACGTCCTCGTTTCTTTCATCAATCTCATTTTTTCTCTAATTGCTTATTTTGTTAGCATTATAAGCATAATGCAATGCAACAATGTGCTACGACGTTTATGTATGTATGTATGTATGTATGTATGTATGTATGTATGTATGTATGTATGTATGTATGTATGTATGTATGTATGTATGTATGTATGTATGTATGTATGTATGTATGTATGTATGTATGTATGTATGTATGTATGTATGTATGTATGTATGTATGTATGTATGTATGTATGTATGTATGTATGTATGTATGTATGTATGTATGTATGTATGTATGTATGTATGTATGTATGTATGTATGTATGTATGTATGTATGTATGTATTTATATATGTATGTATGTGTGTATGTATGTATGTGTGTATGTTAAAACCAAAACATGATGAGTGACACTGAACCGTCAAACATCAAGCAACAAATGTATTAACACTTTGATTTGTCGTTAATTGCACATGTCGGCATTCAGTTGGATATTTTCAAGCACACAGACACGCAGGAACCGCTGCAACAAGCACGAAATGTGGTTAGTTGCGAAAAACAGTTCCCTGCTGTCGCCTGATCTGACGCTGATCATTTTACATATTGCCTTAAGAAATTTAAGGATGTTGGGGTCCATCAGGCCGAGAACCTCGATACATATTGGCAAGAATTCCATCGAGGGGAGGGCGTTCCCATATTTTTTCATTTTCTCGTCCGCTGCCCTGGCCGCGGCCAAACCGCATTCTTTACTTGTCAGGTTTACATATCGTTCGGCAAGGGTGCCAGGGACCGTAACATCCCACGCCAAACATCTGCCGACTCTCCAAGGTATTAGTGTGCATCTGTCCGGGCGCCTACCATCATGCGCAGAAATGCCGGATGGTTCCTTGAGAACCGGGATTGAAGCCTTGGAGAAGAGCCGACAAATGTATTCGTTTAGCGCTGAGTGACGTAGTTGAAGGCCCCCACCCAGGCGACAAACCAAACCGTGGTGCCCAAACTCGTCCGCCCCAGCGCCACATCGGCACGTGTATTTATTTTGAATGACCAGGCCAAGTCTGAAGCCAATGGCAAATCTTACAGACTCGTCGCGGCACCGAAAAAACCGGTGGAGCAGGGAAGACTGCAGGTCAAGAGTGGCAGCGGCAAAAGAATTATAAACAACAGGAGCCAGCTGAACCACGCTAAGCAGCCCTAGCCCACCAAATCGCACCGGCAGCTGAGCCTGGGACAAACCACTGTTGGTCACTTGAACATTGCAAATCGACGACAGGGCGGTGCGCAGGGCTCCGTCAAATTCGCCCAATTTAGAATGGTCAATGTGTTTGGATGTACGCAGGAAGTACATCAATTTGGGCAAACTGAGAGCATGTATGTATGTATGTATGTATGTATGTATGTATGTATGTATGTATGTATGTATGTATGTATGTATGTATGTATGTATGTATGTATGTATGTATGTATGTATGTATGTATGTATGTATGTATGTATGTATGTATGTATGTATGTATGTATGTATGTATGTATGTATGTATGTATGTATGTATGTTAAAACCAAATCAGCGATGAGTGACACTAAACAGTCAAACATCTGAAAAAATCGGTTAACAATTGATATCTCGTTATTCGCTCACGTCGGCGTTTAATTGAACATTTTCGGTAACACAGACGCGCAAAAACCTTTGCAGCAAACAAGATATATGATTCATGGCGAAAAATAGCTCTCTGCTGTCGCCGGACCTGCCACTTATCATTTTGCAAATCTTTTTAAAAAATATTGAAGTGTTGTTGTCCATCGGGCCAAGAACCTCGATACAAACAGGTAAAAAATCCATCGAGGGCAGGGCACCTTCATATTTTTTAAACTTTTCATCCGATGCCCTGGTTGCGGCCAAACCACTTTCTTTGCTAGTTAAGTGCACGTACCGTTCCGCTAATGTGCCCGGAACGGTTACGTCCCACGCCAGGCATCTACCGGCTCTCCAAGGAATCAACGTGCAGCCATCCGGACGTTTTCCATCCAACGCGGAAATTCCCGAGGACTCTTTAAGAACGGGTATTGAAGCCTTGGAAAAAAGCCGGCAGATGTAATCATTTAATGCGGAATGGCGCAACTGACGACCTCCACCTAAACGACAGACCAGGCCGTGGTGACCGAGTTCGTTAGCTTCCGCACCGCACCTACACAGATATTTATGGTGGACCGTTAAACCCAGACGAAAACCAATGGCCATCCTGACCGTCTCATCATCCAGTCGGGTACCCACCGGATGAGTTGGGCCAGGATCTCAACCAACCGCAGCTCGCGTCGCTTGACGCGGCCAGCAGACGAGCCGAAGTTGCATCGTCGGGACTAGAGGACAACAAAAACTGAAAAGTTGTTTTGTATGCCTCTTCCAGCAACTGAGCTTGAAAATGTTTTGCTCGGTTGGGTGATGCTGGTGGGGTACCAAGATTCGTGAAAGATTGCCGGAGCAGGGCAGACTGCAGGTCGAGCGTGGCAGCGGCAGATGATTTGTAAACAATAGGTGCCAGCTGGACCACGCTTAACAACCCCAGTCCCCCAAACCGAACCGGCAACTGGGCCTGAGACCAGCCCCTGTCTGTCAACTCAACATTGCATAGGGCTGACAAAGCTGACCTCAGGGCGCCATCGAATCCGCCCAAAATGGATGCATCAACCGAGAAGGATGTACGAAGGAAATACATCAATCTAGGCAAACTAAGGGCATTGCGGACGATGGCCCAAGAAGCTCAATGATGCCTCAGACACTAAGGGCACTTCCGCCAGTGTCTGTGGCATTTCAAAAGAGTCGTTTGCGTACAATTCGCATTTTTTAATATTAAGCTCAAGCCCAATGATGGAGGCATTGTCTTTTAAAGACAGAAAATCAGTAGCTAAAATTGCACCCTCGGTGGCCAAACTGATATCGTCCAGGTAGCCGCAAACGAATTTTGAAAGAGATTTTTCCAACACCGGGTGTAGGGTCAGAGCAAACAACATCGGCCCCAAAGGGTCACCCTGTTGCACCCCCTCGGACGATTCCATCACCCAGGTGTTATAACCAAGAGAAGAGATTCGGCCATATGCGGAGTGGCAGTAATTGTAAATTTGGGGACAGAGCCGTTTGACTGCCTCCAGCATCGAATCTCTCCTCAGGGTATTAAAGGCATTCCTGAAGTCAATTTTTAAAAAACCCCATTTATCGGGTAAGTCCAGAACCAATTTACGGGCCGCATGTACGGCCGCCTCTGCTCCTCCTTTCACCCCAACGCCCAGTTGAGTTGGGTAAAGTTTTGCCTTGGTTTCTTCCAACACCAAGATCAGAGCACATTTGCTAGCCAACCTTCTCCAAAAGTTACCGACCACAATAGAATCTTTTTTTGTCAACGCTATCAAACGACCCCCGAAAAAGAAACGGCTGGCGGCGGATGGGCACGCGCCAGATAAAATTATATTTATAAACTGTGTTAGGGAGCTTACAAACTCGTCAATGGGCAGTGGGCCTGAAATTAAATTTTTAATGTGCTGGGGTCTTAGGCAGTCAAGACCTCCAGACGAACCATTCCTAAATGACTTCAGGGCTGACAACACCTGGGTGGGTGAAACGCAACCATTTACGGTTTCCGGTGCAGGAAAGACTCGCCTGTCCGATGGTGACCTGGGGTGGATGGCGTTGAGTCTAACCAATGTCTCAGGCGAGTCCCCCGCCAGACCCTCGGGAGAGCAAACAAGCCTGACAGCCGCCGAAAGATTGCCCTGTTCTATGCGGGCGATTGCGGTTTGAATCCAACTGTTTGGATTGTTTTTTCGTGGCTTTATTGTATTGTCGATTTCAAAGCCAGCCGCAATAGACTCAACCTCCAATGTAGAGTAATCTGCCAATCGTTTGTTAACATGATTACCCTGGTTGAATCTTCGACCCCCTCTGGCAGGCTTTTTGAGGATATATGGGAAAAATCAATGGAGCCTGTACCAGTGAGTTGGGTCGCAAGGTTCATTACAAATTGCCGCCATGAGGGACATCAATTCTTTTATTACTTTTTCCCTACATGGTTTCGGCACATAATCAATAACCGGGGTTTCTCTCAAGGCGGCCGTCAGTCCGTCAAAAAAAGCGTTAAGGTCAGTTCCCATGGGAGCCTCCGTGACCGAAGCTGATGTACGTGCGGCTTCGCGACCCTCGTTGACAGGTGCAGCGCGGGGAGCCAAACCCGAAGGTCCTGTAGACCCGGCCGATGGTTGGTCGACCGCTTTCATAGACCCAGGGCATTCTTGACCCTTCTCTTTCCCTCCGTGCCGGTTTAATTTCCCGTCCGGTCTTAATTTATAGTGGTTGAAACAAAAAGTGCATTTGTGTAAAACCGGAGCCATAAATGAATATAAAATTAAAATTATAGGTAAAATACTAATAAAACCGCAAACATTGTTAAAACTTTAAACCAAAAAATTAAAATTAAAACAAAAATATTGCAAGGATGGTGTACATAAATGAAAAACGGAAAGCTAGTATTGTATACTATTTAATATTCATGAGTTTAAAAAAAAAATTTTGGAAACGAAATAAAATTTGATAAAACCCACCAAACCACCATAAAATATCCAAAAAGCAAAAAGAAACAGTCCAAAACGTTAATAACCAAAAATTAGTCAAAACTAAAAACTAAAATCCCTAAAACCTTTAAAAACGCGAAATGTTACCAGCAAAATGTTTCAAGTCGGCCGGACCGTGTTGAGCTAACGAGATGTATATCTCATGTATATAGATGTATGTATGTATGTATGTATGTATGTATGTATGTATGTATGTATGTATGTATGTATGTATGTATGTATGTATGTATGTATGTATGTATGTATGTATGTATGCATGTATGTGTATGTGTATGTGTGTGTGCGCTTGTGTGTGTGTGAATGTGTGAGTGTGTGTGTGTAAGTGTGCTTCTGTGTCAAACTTCTACGGTTTTTGTTTGTCATCTTGCATACAAAATGATGTTGGAATGAATGTCTAATTTTATACAAACGTGTTTGTATACGCTTGAATTTCTGATTGTATGCGTGCATGCATGCATGCATTATGTATGTATTATGAATAGTTGATAGTGAATTGTAGATGGTGAATTGTTGATGATAAATGTTGATCTCTCAAAGTTGATGTTGATGTAGTAGGTTGACTTGCAAATCTTTTATAACTTATCCAATGATAAATCTCCATTGAAGGTTCCATCAATTTGCATGTTTGTGTATGTGT